TGTAGACAACAGACCCCAAAGCGATAGGGTACTGAATACCTCCTTTCCGTGAAGCTCGACACACCCACCGGATCGCCATCTCTCCCGGCGTTCTACTCCGGTGAGATCCTTCTCCATCTCCGATTATCATCACCACCAATCTCCTCCGAGCTTCCTCTTGTTCCCGTGATGGAGAGAAGATGGTCAAAATCGAAATCAATTTTAGATTCCGACCACAGCCGTACGTTCTCCGTCCGACGGCCACCTCCGGCGAGAGCAATTAATTTTGGTGAATCGAAGAAATCACCTTCATCTCTCATCTTCGCCTCTCGATATGAGACATTTATCACCTCCATCTTTGCATGCGTTCTACTTCCGTCCTCTTCGGTGGTCTCCGGTGAATCGGACCGCCGCCGTCACCGTTCATCCAAGGTATCCTCTAATCTCCCTCTTGTCTCTTCTTGGGACACTTAGAGACTAGGATCCCTAAAAATTTCCAGAATTCTGAGAAACCTAAAAGTTTCCCCTTTTGAATCAAGCCCAGGAGATCGGCTCCGTTTCTCCAACGAGCTTCATCTCTCCTCCGACGAGATTCACAGCTCAATTGCTCTTGCCTTAATCGATATCTAACTCCATCTGCTGCGTTAATAGTCGAGAAGAAAACAAAATTCCGGTAACAAGTCGGGCTCTTTCTGTGGAATCCTAGGAGCAATTATTGACCATGAGATAATCGATTTCTCATTCTGCTTTTCAACTGTGACTCCACCTGAAACTGGTATCCCTCTCAACACAATTTCAGCAATTTTCAAACAAGTAATTAATTACTTGCCTTGATTCACTTTCTCCTGACTGGCTGATTACTCCAATCTCATCACGTGTGATTTTCTTTAACACTTCTCAACAGATACTCCCTTTTTCCAGACTTTCCTCTGAAAGAGCTACTCCCTTAGCTCTATCTCCGTCACTGTTCACTCCGTGAATAGTAGACGTTTTTCCCAAATCTTCCATTTCAGCTTCATCGCTTGAGCTTTCTTTAACCAAACTGATTCCTGAAGAATCCCTTTTCTTTATGATACTTTCTGCTTTTTCCTTCAAGATCCCTTCTTCCTTCATCTCATTTTCACGCTTCACCCACTTCTTCTTGGCTTGTAATCAGAATTTCTTTTACTCTTCCAGATTTCGCCTTCCTCCACCTTTGGACTGGTGGTACTCTTGTAGGACCTTGAATTAATTTCTCACTGAAAGTCACTTTCTTTGACTTCTTCATTCTCACTCCATATTCAGCCTTAGCAATATTGTTTTCATCAGTTTCAGCCTCTGGTACACTCTTTTCAGCCTTAACAACTGTGCCTTGAAGATAGTAAAGCCCTTCGTGATATTTTCCACTTGTCACTTTCTTACCATCTTTGTAGATATTCACCATGAACTCGCTGCCCTCATACGTACAACCCGACTTCTCTAACATTCCATAGGAGATCAGATTCCTACTCATATGTGGCATGTACCTCACATCTTTGAGTATTACCACAAAACCGTCTGGTTTCTGTATCTGAATTTTTCCTATTCCTTTGACCTCACTATGACTGTTATTAGCCATTATAACCTTTCCTCCATTGAATTCCTTAAGATCACTCAAGATTTCCTTGTTTGGTGTGAGGTGGAATGAACAACCCGAGTCCATATTCCATTCTTTTCCTTGGTCTTGAGTGCTCGCAGTTAACACCAACGGTTGATGTGGTTCTGTTGCAACGTTTGCTGAGCTTGAAGGTTTGTTTGTGTTCTTCTTGGGACATTCTCTTTTCCAGTGCCCTTCTTTACCACAAATGAAACAACCTTTGTCAGTTTTCTTGTACCTAGGCCTAGACCTGCCTCTGCTTTTAGACCTTCCTCTCCCCTGGTTGTTCTCACTGTTGAACTGATTATCTGATCTGCCTCTTCTCTCAACATATAACCCTTCTGCCACTGATCTTGAAAGCTTTCCACTCTCTGTGAGTGTTTGGTATCGTTGATTCTACTGCTTGATTTAGGAGAAGAAACTTTCCTAGATGCAGTATATTCTAGAGACCTAATTGAATTTATGTTGGCCCTTTTGTTTTGGTAGAAATTGAAGTTTTCGTGATTTTTTTTTGTAATCTAGGGTTTTATTTTGGTAAACTTTACTCCAATTTTTTTTTGGATAAACGTATCTCGACTTCTTCGTTTGACCTTGAATGTTGACTTTCTTTTTAGCGTTCTATTTTCTTAGGTCGTTTTGTTCCAGATTTTGTGTTGTTAGTGTTTAGTATCCTTGATTTTGAGGTGTTTCTACTATTAAACCATCGATGGGTTTTGGCTGATTTAGGATAGATGGCGATCAATTGAGGCTCATTTGTTCATGTTTTCATCAATCACATGCGTCGGATGTGCTCCACCACGCTGCTGCATTCTAGGTAAAGCAAATGGAGCAGGAGGCAAATCACCATTGGTGTTCCTCTTCCTCTCCACAAGACGTCGTACTTTCCTTAGCATGTAGAGGCCTTGTAGCTAGGTTGAAATCTTGTTGAGTTGAAATAACAAGTATGTTTGGTGGTAGTCTGCCTAGAAGAGTCTCATCCAACATTTCTTCCATAAAAAGCGAATCTACAACATTGAACGATCTCTCAAATTCATTCGGTATATCCTCTCCTAGATGTGCTACATTACGACATCCATCATCCGCGCATAGACATTTTCTTACGGGAGCTTCAAGGAATCTGAATCCCAACGCTTAAATAATGGCATGCTCGGTTCGGTATTAAACATGTTTGTGTCTACTATAAACCATCACCGGCTCGCAAACTGTATAATCCCTATCAACTAGCTGAAGACAACTTTGAATATTATCTAGAATGTGAGCCACGAGAATGTTCCTAGAGTAACTGCAGTTTTCACTATCATGAAATACAGCAACAACATGATCTTCAAATTGAGTCAGGATCATGATGTTGGTGTATTTTAGGATAGTGAAAACTGCAGCTTCTCTAAGAAGAATCTCGTGGCTTGCATTCTAGATAATATTCAGAGTAGTCTTTGGCTGGTTGATACAATTATATAGTTTGCGTGTCGGTGATGGTTTACAGTGGTCACAAACGTGTTTTTTTACCGTACCGAGCATGTCGGTATTCAAACGTTGAGATTCAGATTCCTTGAAATATCTGTAAGTAGACGTCTATGTGCGGCCGATGGATACTGTAATGTAGCACATCTACGAGAGGGTATACCTGATGAACTTGAGAGATCGTTCAATAATGCAGATTCGCTTCTTATGTGAGAAATGTTGGGTTAGGCTTTTCTAGGCAGACTATCACCAAACATATTTGTTATTTCAAACAAACGAGATTTCAGCTTAGCTACAAGAGCTCTACATGCTACAAGAATGGGATAGAATGCTGCTCCATATGCAAATTGCCTCCTGCTCCATTTATTTCAAACCAATGGCGATTTGCCTCCTCCATTTGCTTTAGCTACTTGGGAATGGGATAGAATGTTGCAGTGTGGTGGAGTACATATGGCGCATGTGATTGATAAAAACAGGAACATATGAGCCTCAATTGATCGCATGATTATTCTTATGTTCATCTTTATCGATGTTGCATGATTATTCTTATGTTCATCTTTATTGATGTTGATTACGTTGGTTGGTTTTTACAAACACAGTTTTAATGTTTGGTTTTATTTAAGAGTCTTAGATTCTATCAAAAACTTGGAAGTTTTAATGGTCATAGATTAACTGAGCTTCCCCCCTCCAAATCTTTTTTGTAGTGATTTCGTTTTCTGAAACACTTAATCTCGCAATATGCTAATCATTGTGTGACAATTTGCTCTTCTTGTTTTTAATGCAATTTGAACAAATGAGATTCTTTTCCGCCAATGGAAAGAATGATAAATAACAATCAATATTCCATATTTATGTTCTTGAACTAAGCTGTGATAGAGACGCCTCAATCTGAATCTGGAAACTTAACTAAACAATTAAGTTTCTTTAGAGAAATCTTGATGATCTTTTACAATTTTGCAACGTAGTGTACAACAAATGAAGGTAATATTTGTTTTATGTTCCAAGGCACATTACTTTTGTACAAGAAAGTAGATGTGAATTAATCGTAAAATTTTGACAGTCACATTTGAGCTTTCTGGTCTCATGCTTCCTCGAGAAGAAGCGCAATGGCTGAATCCATGGTCACTACATCAGGCTCGGAATCTTCGTTATATCGATCCACATTATTCAGAGTAATCCCTGCAGAGTCACAAAGGGAGCAAAATCATTACACAAAATACACTTCCAAAACGAATTAGTGGTAAAAAAATTAAATTAATTAAAGGATATATATCGGGTACACCAAATTCGGTTTTAGTCCATATCCTAAGTAATGAGACCCGTCGGTTTATAAACAAATTTCGGTTTCATTTCGTCTAAGCTTTTCGGTTTGGTTCAGTTTAGTTTGTTTGTTTTTGTTTCTTCTGTAACAGATTCTTTTTCTACTTTATTTCTCATCTTCTGTTTTTCTTGCATATGCATCGTTACGACACCATTTGTTTATTTTATTAACAGGTGAGTTGTGAAGTAAGGGATAATGTAAATTAAACCTGCATATTTTGTTTGTTTCATCAGTTTTTTGAGTTTGTTTAAACTGCAAATTAAACATGGAGGCTCTCTTCTGCACATGCATTTGCAAAACAATCTTAAATATAAATCAGTACTTAGATCTTTGAGGTGGATTGTTAAATTCTAACACATTTGAATGCGGAAGAGGTAAAACATATACATATCTTAATCCGATTTAACGATAGAACTTCTCCATAATGTTTAAGGAAACAGACACATAGGCACAAACCAATCTTTAAACCAACTTGAATAATTCACCTGAAGAACCAAAAGCTACAAGACAAACGAAAGATGAATAAAGGTGATTTCGCCGGGAAAAGGTTTTGATATCAATCATTATTTCAGTTTTTAACCTTCCATGAAACTTTCTTTGCCCTAGCAAGCATGGGTGCGTATAAACTCATCATAACTATGTACAATCTCCAAATGAAGATATCATAAATTTCAACCAATCAGTTTTAGATTTAGTCAATAACTATAGTTTAATAGTATCGAATAATATTGTCTCAGAAAAAGATAGTCAAAGATACATAAACACAAATTGCTATATAGTATAATCGCTCACTCAAGGAACGTTTATTATTTTCTGTTCCTGAAGGTGCAAGCATAGTGCGCCTCTTTGGCTTTGGCAATGGTGGTTTGCTTATTGTTTTATGAAAATTATTTTTGTGATATCATTTATTGCTCATTTTTAATAATTCATGTTAGCGTTGACAAAACAATATGATTAAACCCCACCTAAATGAAATGTTATATTCAACTTATCCAATTTTTCAAAGAGGCATTAATTAATCAATTCCAAGGCATATATTCGATCAAGATAATTAAATACTCCTATAGTACTCTCATAATTTAAGAGAACCTACGGGTCGAATTTAAATCACTCTTGTTACTTTAAACTTGAATCCAAATAATGTAGTATATATGTGTGATTCTAGTAGCTTCACGTGAACTTAATAGTATACACAACAATCATTGGTTCGTGAATCTCATTTAATTCGTTTCGCCTTGATGCACTTATTTTGAATGGGACATACTATATATTCATATAAGTTGATAAACTATATAGTAATATTCAATGTTTTTAAAATTAAATATGAAATAGACTTAGGGAATGACATGTCGAATTTGTCTCCAAAAGATAGGAATTGAATTATGCTTCTCAATAACGGAACGTGGCAATACCTTTAACACTCATCTATAATTCTATATATATGGTTGGTTCCCAAAATTATTTCTTCATCAAACGAAAAAAATCCAAAATTATTTATAAGATCGTAAATGTGAATGATTTGATTATCTCAAATGTTATATTCAAGAATAGTATCTATAATCTTTAGTTAGCATTACGTATTTAGGTCAATTATTCAACTGAGTCTACGAGTCGAATTGTCCGAGTGAACTGTTTGCATGCAGTTGGATTCGAATTCTAGGAAAATATATCAAAAGTTAAGGTGTTACTCCAAAAAAAAAAATTGCATATGGCGAAAAAAATAAAAGAAAAGAAGCTTGATAGATGTTTATACGGTCGATTATGAGAATGAATTTGTGTTTCGATTTGGTAGACCTTCAACAACGCACCGAATTGATGGTATCCATAAATTTCTTATCAGTTATCAATCATAGGAGGTTTATGATCTATTTATGTATGGACAAAATATATCGTATCGGCATTATTATTGCCTAGCTAGTTAAGTTTTTTCTTTTTTCCTTTTTTACTTTGAAAGGTTTGATTAGCAATTTTGTCCGGACAGACCAAGTATATGTACAATATTTATGATTGTGTAGGACATTCAAAGATCTTCCATACAGTTTTCGAATTAATTGGTATAAGAGTTTTTCTATGTTAAATTAAATCAAAACCAGCTAAATTAGATTAACAAATATTTTCATTTTTGGTGGATAATCAATGATTCCATGGCATGTATGCACGAAGTCATGTTGTCTCTACAATGGCAGCCACTTAAAACCTACCAAACAATTTGCAAATGCTTAATTACAATTTTGTTTAGCAGCTCCCATTATCACATGTACCCATTTATTTTGGGAAAAATGTATTGATAAGCATATTTTTTTGTCATAGGATATACAGGGAGGTTTTGCGCATATTAACAAAACACTTTCTTACACAAGTATCAATTATTTTGGCCACTTGGACCTTTTTAATAACATGAATACCCATCTTATCTTTACATAGATCACATGATAAATTTATGTTTCGATACGAGATCTTCATGTAAATCCGCACATAAAATAACAAAAGCCAGATTCGAAGTCATTTTCTTTTCTGACGACATTGAAAATCATTTTATGTTTACGAAATAGGAAGATTATTAGTTATAGTAGTGTTACGAAATTATTACTCGTACTAGTCTTAACCCTTGTTGTTTCATTCTTTCATGTGGCTCCTCAGCATACTGTATATAATTCCAAAGTAGTTAAGGCCACAAATTGCAGTAATCTATATTCTGGAGTCTATACCTTTGATCAGCCAATCTAAGAGGTTGTCAAAGAAAAATAATAGGAATGTCGAAATCAAAATCAGACAAAAACCATCATTTTTTGCAATAGCAAGAAGAATTCAAAATTTGCTGGACCTGGACCAGTCTAATCTTTATGTCATATCATTAGCTCTTGTCGTCACCGTATAATCATATAATTGGATCTTTCGAAATGTTGGAAAATTTAAATTATTTTGTTGGTAAATAAAAGAAATAAAAAAATGCACTTCGACATTTCTCCATCAAAGACCATATATATAACTTTCCTTACATAATTCCAAACCCAAAAATTTAGGTTAAAATTCATCCAGCCAGATCATAACGTAACTATCAAATTAGCTAATACGACGTGTTTTAATTTGTATAATTCCATATGTAAATTTGATTTGGATTCTATATAGAAATTAGCTTAACGTTTATTACTCAACCTGTAACGTCACGTGCCCACATGTTTGACCTACACTCTATCACAATTTGTATTTCGAAGAATCCGATAAATTTGATATGATTTATATAATCCACATTGTGGAACATTCAAGAGGAATCCACATTAGACAATCTAAATAGTTAAATAATTTGAAAAGAAAGATTTACATACAAATGGAAACAAAGATTCCGCGTCTCAAGTTATTTGAAATCTCATTTTTGCATTTGGTCGGTTATTACCGTTGACTTTTTAACTTTATGATTCATCCACCCAATGAATCACTTCAAAATACATACAAAAAAAAAAGGACTTAAAACGGATCAGTGATTCAGTGATGATTTTCCTCGAGGCAAATTACATGCAAATGGAAATAAAAGCCATTTCAGACGCATAAAGTCACAATTTTTACCTTATAATATTTGCTAAAATTAAAATAACATAAAAAAGTCTTTATCGAAACATCACTAGAGAAGAAATCTCTCTCTAGTCTTTATCTGAGTATTTAATTTCTCCATCTTCCTTATGATCCATTATGCCCCAAAGTCCTTCTTCTTCTTCTTCTCTATAATTACTTGGACAAATAGAAGAAAAAGAAGAAGAATATAGAAAATGGTGTTTGGTTGGAGAAAAGCGTTTTGCACTTCCGTTTCAAGTAATCAAGATAAACCTCAACAACAATCATCATTACACTCTGATCCTCCAATTCCCACCCCAAGATTCCGATCAAAGTTTGGTTTTTTATCCAACCCTTCTACTCCTCGTCTCCGATCTCGCGGTGGTGGTGGCACTGGATGCCGCTCCTCCGCTTCCACATCAGTCACTATCCCATCTCTTCCAACTAGTCCCAAACTCCATTGCAGGACTACGAGCAATGCTACTCCAAGGACTAGTAACAGCTCAAGTCCTAAGTTTTTCTCTAACCCTTCTTCTCCGAAATCATCTTCTTCTTCCTCTCAAGGCGGCGGCGGCGTCTCTCTCCTCCGTGCCACGCTTCTTCTCAACAAGGTAGTTACTTTTGATTTTTAAAGGTTCTTAATTTGTGCTTATAAACGGTTAATTAATCTAAAGCTCTGTTTTTTCTGTGTGTGGATGCAGAGTAATAGTAGCAGATGTGGGATTTGTTTGCAGAGAGTGAATTCAAATCAATGTAATTCGACGACGGCGATTTTCACGGCGGAGTGTTCACATTCGTTTCACCTCTCTTGCGTCAATGGATTAGAAGACAAGCGTTGTCCGTTGTGCTCCGCCGCGTGGCCGAAGTTGAATTCTCCGGCTGTAACTTTCAGTTCCGACCCGAATAGACGACCCGAGATCCGAGAGATCAAAACGGGGAAGTCACTGAGAGTGTACAACGATGATGAGCCGTTAGCTTATTCGCCGGTTTCTCTTGCTCAGATCAACACTATACATGAATCCGACGAATACGACGACGTTGAAGATGACGATGACTTCCCCGGATTCTTCACGGATACGGCTGATATGGTTCCTTCAATCTCCGGGAATCTGGAGGTTAAGTTGATGCCGGAATCTGCCGTAGTGGAAACCGGGAAAAGGAAAGAGACACACGTCGCCATCATGAAATTGAAAGCGTCTCCGTCGCCGTCGTCGATCACAGATGCGATTAAGGCGCGACGACCATCGATAGATCTGGTAACGGTTCTCGATTTAAGCAACGGCGGAGCTAATTTGCAAACGGTTAAGCACGCGATGAGATCGGTGATCTCTCTTCTCCGAGAGATGGATCGGTTATCAATCGTCGTTTTCTCGACGGGATCCAAACGGTTAATGCCGTTACGACGGATGACGGCGAAAGGAAGACGAACGGCGAGGCGGATGGTCGACGCGCTCGTCGGAATGGAAACCACCGGAGGAGTTGGAATGAGCGTTAACGACGCGTTGAAGAAAGCGGTTAAAGTCGTTGAAGATCGGCGGGAGAAGAATCCGTCTACGAGCATCTTTGTTTTATCGGACGGTCAGGATCAACCGGAGGCGGTTTTGAAAGCTAAACTAAACTCCACGCGCGTTCCTTTCGTCGTGTCCACCACGCGATTCTCTCGTCCGGAGATCCCGGTTC